TCCCCAAATCCCCAAATCCCCAAATCCCCAAATCCCCAAATCCCCAAATCCCCAAATCCCCAAATCCCCAAATCCCCAAATCCCCAAATCCCCAAATCCCCAAATCCCCAAATCCCCAAATCCCCAAATCCCCAAATCCCCAAATCCCCAAATCCCCAAATCCCCAAATCCCCAAATCTCCAAATTCCCAAATTCCCAAATTCCCAAGTCCCTAAATCCTTAAATCTTCAAATTCTCAAATTCTCAAATTCCCAAATCCCTACATCCCTAAATCCCCAAATCTCTAATTTCTCAAATCTCCAAATCTCCAAATCTCCAAATTCCCAAATCCCCAAATTCCCAGATCCCCAAATTTCAAAATTCCAAAGTATTTCCCACATATCCAAATTCCTAACCCCAAATTTCGAAACCTTTTCCTTAAAACTTCCCCAAATTCCCAAACTTCCAAATTTAAAAACAGAGATCCCAACACATTTGCACTCTCATATGGTAAATACAATATTGTAATAAAATTAACAAAAATAATAAGAAAAGACACTATGACACGTTCAACAAGGGTAAATATATAAATTATGCCACATAATGGAAACCCTCCAGCGTTTCACCCTCATGTCCATTGATATGTTGAGTCATGTTGTGAGTTACTGATAATCACGATCGTCATATCCATTCCCTTTATTATCCGTGACAGATTCGATGGGTGACATTATCTGAAGTATAGCTTTGTTCAGTGGCTCAGATACCGGTGTTGTATGTCAAACCACGAGACGATATTTGTATCGTGATTTACCCTAAATGTAATTACACGCTTATTCAAGATTTAGTATTTAGTATATTTAGTATATAATTTAGTGTATTTTTACAAAAGATATATTAATTATCTGAAGCCTCCATTTAAGATGTCTTTTGTAATATTTTCTTATATTCAATATTTTCTGAAATAAAATTGGCCTTAATATTTATTTCATTTGTAACTAAAAATTATACTAATGAATAATTAGTAACTATATAACTTTTGTTTAAAATATTTATCGTCAATAATTTGAAAGTACTTGGAGATGTACTATTTAATAATATATTCGCAATATCAAAATTCCATCAACTAAAGAATACAAAAATTCATTGAACAGGTCTTAGAAACTGTGTCTAATCTATGAAGCTAATTTCTGCGCCTATTTCAGAGATCTGAACTTTACTGCAAAATGAGAAGCAGCGAGCCTGCAGACGACAAACCAATTAATTTTCAATTCCGTCTCGTTCAAGAGGCTAGCTGAGATACGCTTCCGTATCTTTCAATTCGAACACGTGCAATCATCTTCTTTAGAAGAGATTCTGAAAATTAGAAAAGTGGAAGGGTTTAAAATCTCAAGTCGAGGAGGATAAAAAATGGTAATAAAGTTTTGGGGTTGTCGAAAATTTTATTTTAAAGGAATTTGCAAATCTTTGTTAGGTTAAGTTCTTAGGTTATGTAGTCTTTCGTAGCTAAGTAACAATTTTCTACTGTTCATATGACTTTGTTTTACTAAATTATTAGAAATTCCTGAAAACTGGTAGAATAGCGGTTTTGTACAGACATCATCTTTCACAATAATAATTATAAATATAGCATAAATTAAAGTTGAATATCATCAAGCTCCCTTCCTCTCCAACATCTACCTTTCAATTCCAAAAAAATGAAGAATATAATATAAACTAGCATATACACGTATCACAACACATCCACATAACACAATTAATAGTTTGCAACAGTAAAAGACTAAAGTGTGCCAGTATGAACAGCATCGTAGCATAAAATCACCAGCTGAAAAATCAGCGCTCAAAAGAGCAGAAGGCAGATGAAAGAAACAACAATGGCCGAGATAAATCGAATGAGTGTCAATTTATGTAGAGTCGGGTGAGCAATGACAAATGCGAGGGACATTTCCGAGGAAAGAGGGCGAGGGAAAACGGCAAATACACGAATACAAAAAAAGAGAAAGGGTAACCGTGTTGCACACGGTGGGTTGTTGGCATAGCAGGAAGACACAGGGAGATTGAAACAGGAAGAAAATGTTAGGTGATCACGCCAAGAGCCCATTCAGAGTTGTACCCGATGCGCTTAATGGTTGTACACACCGAATAGGAGTTATCCCGCGCTTTTTACCCTTTCTTCTACCCTCTGTGCCACCCCTCTATCTATCCTTCTCCCTTTCGTGGTCTCGCAACTTTATCCTTTTGATTTGTCCCCTGCTTGTCTCAACTATTGTCTCTTTTCGTCTATCGTTCCGTATCTCTCTTCATCTTATCCTACCTTCTCCTTTTTCGTCTCGCTCTTTCTTTCAGTTTCCCATTTCTCTGTAACTCGTTCTTTCCTCTCTCTCTCCCTTTCTTTGCGTCTCTTCTCATTTCTTCTCTGTCCCTCACCGTCTCTCCACATCTGTCTCGGTCCGTGTCCTGTCGGCGCGACTCACTCAGCAACTTTTTAATCACCCACGCCGAACAAAGGTGGACGAACCAACGGGTGTCCTGGAATAAATGTCGCATTTCTTCGTTCGCTGAAACCGTATATCAGGCTGTTTGCATCAGACGTGCGCTTTGATATGCCTCGTTTCACGCGGTCATTCGCTGTATGCTTGAAATGGGAACGAAATACTGGGTTAGTATCACGTTCAGCGCTGACGTTAACGTTGGATGAAACAGCCACTTGAACGTGCTTTATGTGGACAATGCATTTCAATTTCTTAGGGTTTACAGGGCTTCTTTTGCGAATTTATGAGCTCTACAACTTTGAAATTTATTGGTTTCTGGTATTATGAAAGTGGAATTAGAAAGTTTGTTGGCCGAAGTTGGAAAGTTTTGGGTTGAGAGATTTATGGGTTTAGAAATTGCTGGATTTAGAAATTTATTAGTTTAGAAAGTGGAAAATTTTCAAATTTAGAAATTTATAAGTTGAGAAATTGTTAGATTTTCACAAGTTTAGAAATTGAACAATTTTTAAATTGTCAGATTTTTACATTTTCAATTTTAATTTTTGAATTAAACAATTTTGTCATATTGGAGATCATAAATTCTCAAGTTTAAAAATGTTCAAATTTTTCCTAAAAGTCTAATTCTCAAATTTAGAAGTTTGGGAGGATCATACATATGTTATATTGACATTTGTTAAAACATCATCCCATATTCTATTATATATAATTAAATAATAATTGTACTGTTTTTTATTACTAAACAATTTACATGCGTTATAATGTTAATTTTGATGAATTTTACCTGCACGTTTATTAATATTTAATTAAAAGTATTATTTTAAATTGCAACCATTAAATCAATCTATCTTGTAAAATTAATTACATTGTATGATCAAATTAAATGAAAATATATTAACAATTTGCTAAAATAAATCTTAAAAACAATGTCTCATTGTTACTGTTTCAGTAATAAAAAAAAATTAGAAGAACAATTTACAACATTCTTATATTTTATGAAATAAAAATTTTAATTAGTTCAAATACAAATTCGTAAATGCATATAACTTTATTTTTAATCACAAAGTCTTGAATACAAGCCATAATATTAATTTTTTAATCAAAAAGTACAAAAGTAGACTTTCTTTAGACTTAGTGTCGCACCCCTGTTAGGGGATGAGATTTTTTAATCTGTCAAAACACTGATCTTTTCTCCGTTCATTTCGTAGCATCATGTAAGGGCATGACAGCAGAAAGGAGACGAAGAAAAGACTTCGCAGATCACCCCGTATAAAAAAGAGAACACTGGGAGTCCTTTATCGAAAACCACCCCTTGCTTTACAGTAATTATACCGGCAATTCCCTTTCCTACTCAAGCTAGTACGTCTATCCATCTCAGTGGGTTTTTAAGACAATGAGCTGTGTACCCAACGAGAAATAGAGAACGCTCTTTAGTTGCCAGCGCCATTTTCAATCGCGCCGCTCGCTTTGCCAACTTTCTAATTTCAAAATTAGAGGAAACTTCAAGGTTTCGGAATGCCCTTTGAATTCAAATAAGCTAAACGAACTGCAAACAATCTTCGTTGTAATTTCTAATGTGCCTGAAAGTCGTTCTTAATTAAGGAAATTTAATTGCGTTTATTCGAGCACTGCTTTAATTAAATTGTATTGTTACCTTCGAGCTGATTTTAATTACGCTATCTGTAATGAGGTTTTCTCTATTTACCTTTAATGTATAAATATATAAAATTATTTTGCATAGATGATATGCCATATACATGAAATTATTTTATTATTTATGATATGAAGGTTTAGGTAGTTTCAAGATTTATAATTTATAGGAACATATTTTAACAAAAAGTTAACATTACTTCAAGTTCATATTTCTGTTAAGGTAAATACCTATTTTATTCTTATTTTTTTTTTATTCATTTTACTTACTAATAACACGTTGGCTGCTGTATAAAAGCAACTGACAATTACAGTATTTCTTAACTTTCACCAAATATTTCCACAATATTTCGTTCAATTTATTTCTACAATGTCAACTACATAACACAAATATTTCGTACTAAGTGAACAAATTTTTAATAAAATAAATTTGTCTAAAAATTTGAGCATAAATGTAACACAACCATATGTGACACATATGTGACCATTACTGTATGTAACACATATGTGACCATTACTATATGTAACACATATGTGACCATTACTATGTGTAACATATATGTGACCATTACTATAAGTCACACATATGTAACTATTACCATATGTAACACATATGTGACCATTACTATAAGTCACACATATGTGACCATTACTATATGTAACACATATATGATTACTATATGTAATACATATGTGACCATTACTATAAGTAACACATATGTGATTGCTATATGTAACACAAGAGTCAAAGTGTTAAAGCACAATTGCTCTTCTTTCCAAAATAGTTAATAAGATAAATTTTGCCTTCAACTTGAAAAAAGTCTAATAATTAATGTATGAATATATTATTTCACTCGCTATATGAAAACATCTGTTTCTTTTCAGTACAGTGATCGGTCTACGCCTGTCCTCCTGATAGTGTCGCTCGCGGGTATCAAAGTATGCAGTCCAGATGGAAAAGTGAGTACAATCGATGCATGTAGACACAGTTTCGCTCGTAAGAAAATGATGAACAAAGGATGCAGGGAAAACGAAAACCAGAAAAGAGGTAGAAGCTTTCGCGTTTGCGTGTCGAAGAGAAAAGAAAAAAGAAATTAACGTTGTCTGCCTTTTTTCGTGTGTCCCCAAAGTGCGACCCACAAAGAAACTCGGCCAACGTGCCCTGAAAACGATGCTCACTGATGACGCTATATCTTCCTAGGTATTACACACATGTACCTACATTGACTCGAGTGACGCTTTTTTTGCGATAGCTTTTAGCATACTATTTCGGTACGAATGCTTTGTACCTCTGACTTCTTTGGCGATGAGAATGTCGTCGGTTGTATATGGGTATTAAAAGCAGTCTTTCGTCGGACGAGGTTCATCAAATTACTTTCGTGCATTCGAGACCAAACAATTTCTTGCAGCAAATCTTATGATGATGTTCTGAATACTTTGACTGTGAAACAATGTTCACATTTAAACGAATTTTCTGCGATACTCAAGTTGCAGAATTCCGTATTGAATGGGTCAAGTTAATCGGTCAAAGTAAATAAGGGTTAGCAGATCTTTATAAGGGTTATTTTCGTATTTGAGTAACAGGTTATTTCTGGTGAGGGTGACGAAATACAACTTCATGGAATGACAAGTTATTGCAATTTTTAATTGTGACTTCAGTAATTTTGATAAAATTCGTGTTAAATATACAAAAATTGAATATCAGAAAAGGGTATAGCCGGGTATATATCTTTTGTAATAATATTAATATAGATTCAAAGTTTTTAAAGTTTTTAAATATTTGTTAAACATTTCCTTATTCACAGGATACAAAACATCTGCAATTAATAGTATTTAATACATGTAATAATATTTGTCAATTTGTGGTGTGGGGCATTTAGGGATGTGGGGCATTCCGGAGTCCTGGAAAGCACCACTGGATTTTGGACAATTAGTGTGTGGTATTTTGGGGGTATAGGGCACTCCACTAGGTCTTGGATACCTAGTGGTGTGTGGCATTTTTGGGGTATGGAGTGTGTTCAGGGGTCAGGGCACTCCAGGGTCTGGGACATTCAGTGTAGTGTGTGGGGCATTCAGGGGTTTGGGGCACCTATTGGGTCTGGGACGGAAGCTTCCATCGGAATGTCACCATGGCGAGCACCTATCAGGGCGGGGGGCATGGCGTGGGTCATCGGTGGCCAGCAGCAAACTGCTTCTCAAAAATGGAATCATCAATTAGAGATTCCCAAAATGGGACACTTAGGAGCGCGGGTATGAAACCAACTTGCTATCCCCTGACATAAAAATGTGAGCATGCTTCCGCTTTCAATGTATAGGTAAAGACCATATACGTGAATCGGAAACATGCCGTCGTTTCTTCCTCATGGTCCTTTATTATAGTCGCGGAGGGCTATTATAATTGTGAGAAAAACAATTCGTGGCTGGCCACCTAGCGGTCGCGGTGCCCAGTTCGCGATCTGCGATCTACGCGAGACGCGCAAAAAAATGATCAGTGGGGGCAAGCCCCCTCGCGACACCGTGAAGCTCGCGCGCCGAGAAATGTAACATGATCCGCGGTTCCAGTATATCCGTGAGACAGTGCCAATGTAAACAAAAAACTTTTTTATTTTTGACTTTTTCGTTATCAAACTTTTACCAATTAATTCTTGACATTTTTACGATTAAAATGGGACCAAACACGGTATAATTTCGACTACGTTTACTGGTTTAATTGACGGTAGGATTTGAATAACGAAAGAAGAAGGAAGACACTGTGATTGAATCGGTCAAAGATAAAGAGTCTGTTGTATTATTACAAAATTAAATTATTACAAAAAAATTATTTAAATTATTACAAAAGACTCTTAACCACTTAACTAATTCTTCAGTTGAAGGATCATCTTATGTTCTGGAATATAACCGTCTACGACGTAAAATTAATTAATAAATGAATTTTATTTCTTTATCTAATGTATCATTTGTATTAATTATGAAAACCCCAAACCCCAAAATTCCAAAATTCCCAAACCGCCAAACTCCAAAACTTCAAAATTCACAAACTTCAAAATGTCCAAATGATCAAATACCAAAATTGTCAAATCAACAATAATAGTTTATTACTATTATTGCCACCAAAATTACAAAATTTCCCAGCACCCCATTTTCCTTAAAACTATTACTCTTTCTTGAAATTAAAAAAATCATGCAACAATATGTACTTTCACATATGCACATATAGCGATTAAAGTCATAGATTCATACATCTCAATTTCGAATAAATTCATATACGATTAACCGCTCAATGAAAAATATCAATATACCTATTTCAACTCGAAATCATTTGGAATAATGAACGAAGATATTTATGGTATGTTTATTCAACGTAGAATCATGTCTACGTTTTCGTGTTTGGACAAAGTACGCCGGTAAATGAAATTAAACTGTCTGGATGCCAATATCGTCAAAATATAACGTCCACGTTATCGTGCAATGTATGAAAAGGTCTAGCGGGGATGGGCTAATTAATTGCCGAGCATTTCTGCCGGTCGAATTCGTGAAAACGAATTCCCGTAGATTTCAATAAAATTCCCTACGCGTGGAACAATAGAACGGAACAATTCGTTTTTTTCACAATTTGGAACATCCACTATCAATAACTGCTTTTTCATCAAGCATTTTTGTAACTGGATTAATTAACCGTTATCGGTATTTCATTCTATTATGTGAAACAGAGAATGGAGAAATATCTCTTTTATTTATGGAAATATGAAAAATATTTCTTTCATGAAAATTGCAATGTTCGTTGCAGGCGTGGAAAAAAATACTATTATTAAATAATATTTGAAAACTTTTTATTTGGGTAATATTTGTGTTAAGGTTAAGGTGGAATGTAAAGACGTGATGCGAATGATGCGAACAGTAGCGTGGACTTTATTAGAATAGAATAAAAAGGTGAGCAACGCAACTTCCTCCTCGGTGGTATGCGAAGTTAGTTGCTACAAGTATGCAACTGCATGTAAACAAAAGAGATAGAGGCTTGCCAATATCCAATATAGACTAACAATTTGGTTAGGATTAATAATAATGTGTAATGTAGAATATAGTTAGAAAGCGATTTAAATAATTGTAAATTAATTTTTTGTACTTGAAAATGACTTAAATAATATATAGAATGGAGATTTTGTAAATTTGCGAATTAATATATTCCCACATTCCAATATTCCCACTTTCCACATTCCCAAAATTCCCACATTTCAACATTTCAACATTCCCACATTCCCAATTTCTCACGTTCCTAAATTCCCACATTCCCAACTTCCCACATTCCCGAATTACCACATTTCCAAATTCCCACATTCCCAACTTCCCACATTCCCGAATTCCCACATTTCCAAATTCCCACATTCCTAAATTCCCACATTCCCGAATTCCCACATTTTCAAATTCCCACATTCTCAAATTCCCAAATTTCTAAATTCCCACATTCCCCAATTCCTTCATTCAAAAATTCCCACATTCCCAAATTTCCAAATTCCTAATTTCCCACTTTCCCCAATGCCTACATTCTCAAATTCTCATATTCCTAAATTCCTACATTCCCAAACTCCCACATACCCAAATTCATTAATTCCCTCATTCAAAAATTCCCACATTCCCAAATTTCCAAGTTCCTAATTTCCCATTTTCCCCAATTCCCACATTCTTAAATTCCCACATTCCCAAATTCCTACATTCCCAAATTCCCAGATTCCCACATTCCTGTATTCCCAAATTCTCACATTTCGACACTCCTACATTTCCACATTCCCTCATTGCCACATTCCCACATTCCCACATTCCCACATTCCTATATTCCCAAATTCCCGTATTCTCAAATCCACAAACCCCTGAATTTCCAAAAGCCCAAATATCTCACTTCTATGTATCATGAGAGTCTTCATAAATATACGAATGTACCTATACTTATAACCTTAATCAAACAACGTTATTATAATCTTATTATTACATCGTTACAATATACATTTTTGCGTCAAGAATAATAATCAGCCTCACACAAGTGCACTTTAACAGAATTTTCGACCCTGTTATCGCACGAATCAACTCAACGAACGATTCCCTAGATTCCCTGGGGGTTTCCAACGATACCATGATTGACAGTGCGAATGAATCTACCAGGCGGGGACTAATGTGGCTTAGCTCTTTTCTATATCGCTGTCATTCTGATTGATAATCCTTGTTTGTCTCTCACCCGTCTGCCATCGTTTTATGTTTCTGCTTTTTTCACGTCCCCGAACTTCTGATTTCTGGGGTCCGCCCTATTTTCAGTCTTCCGGGACGCGATGAGACAAGAAACTTTTAAGAAGCCTTTTTGTGTTCACCGTCGAAAGAAAAAATTTCTTTAAAAAAAGGAGTGACATGCTCGACAAATCTATTTTGATAGTTTCGGGGTGCGGAAAAGGAATAAAAATTTTGTTGACGGCGGAGAAATTGTTTTCCCCACTTTGTGTTACAAGTTTTATAATACGTTTACAAACTTCACTTTGTATTTTTTCATTTTTTTCTTTGAAATTTATTTGGTTTGTATTTTAAAATAATTACTGGATATTTTAGATTTATTAGTGGATATATTATATAATATAATGATAAAATACTGCCTACATGAATTGCAAAAGAATGAAAAGACTTATAGATTGTAAAATATAAAACATCAATTATATATTGCATAAATGTTATAATATTTGTAAAGAATAAAAAAGTAATTGTGAAACATTTATTATTTAGATTTTATTTGAAGTTTTTCAGTAGGTTTATCATTTAAATAGCGGTCAATTAATGGTGGTCGATTAAGGGCGGTCATTTAAGTAGCAGTCAACTGATGGCATTCCATTAAGGGCGGTCATTGAAGTAGCGGTTGTAATAAAATGAAAACACACCGTCAAACAGTTATTGCAAATTATTTATATAGTTAAACTACTGAATTA